CAGCATCAAAAGTGGGGGCACCAGAGACTCAGTCCTTGAACACAGTAGTGTTTTTTTCTGGTGAAAATCCCATTTGGTCAGAAATCTGAGTACCCACTCTTTTCCCTACTGCCCCTAACATTTTGGTACCTTCTCTCCACCCCCCACCCGCCCATCTTTTTGGCTTACTGCAGCCAGAGTGCTCCTTTTTCTGGGAAAGCCTGATATTCTGACTTCAGTTTTATAATTTAATGATAGAGAATTTCCTTAGTAAACCAAATTTAGAATCCTAGAATGCTTATCTTATATCCAGACCTTGAACATAAAAGACATTTTATACCCGCAATTGTTCATTTAATGAGCAATTGCAGAGTGCAGGCCGGTTAAGGGATTGAGCTATATGCACTATTATTGCAAGAAGTATTCCGAAATACCAGAAATAGGACGTAAGCTCTGATCAGGGAGACTGCGAGCACAATTACCTTCTTTTCAAATCCTTCTGTGACACTGCGGGAGGAAAAAGGACTTTGAAACTTGAAAGGAAAGAGCTTGCTTTCAACCTCAAAAGCTAGGAGGAAAGGGCTCTGAAATTTGCTCAGAATTCCCAATTCACCATTAGTCTGTTTCTTCCTTTAGCCTCAAGGCATTCTCCGCTTTTTGAAAAGATGTTAAGAAATTCAGTCACAATAGAGAGCCTAGTTTTGAACATGTTTCACTCGGTCCATTGAGGTCTGGGCTCCAGCCTTTGTGTGGGGTGAATTGAGCTGAGCGGCTAGCTGGTTGGAGAAGAGGTGAATGAGGAGTCGCTGTGCAGTGGCAAATTGTGGCAAAGAAAAAAAAGTTCACCCCTTCCTTTATTTTGTAATGTGCATTCCTGTGCAATCCTGCCAGTGGCAATATGTGGAGTCCAGACTGTCCCTAAGTCAATATGGAGTACTTGGTTTATAGCAACTCTTGTTAAGTTTGTCTTGTAATTGAAGCTGCTGTTGACCTTGCTTGGGGACCATTTGTAAAACCGTTTATTTAGCATAAACTGAAATAATAAACCCTCCTTCTCTGGGGCTGATTGTGATAGGGTGACATTAGTTTGATTTAATGATTACCCGCCTGACCCTTCTGCTGGAGAGGGAGTCTTGAATAGGGAGAGTTCACTTCCAAGCACTTGCAAAGAATACTAATGAGCTTGTTAAATTTAGCATGGCTCCAAACCACTTTTAATTCCTCTAATGGGAGCCGCACTGCCTGTAAGAGGGAGAGGGAGAGGCAAGAAAGGCCAAGAGATGCTGAGAGTGTTCATAGAGGGTCCATCGGCACAGCTAGAGAAGCTCACCAAGAAGTTTATAGAAAGTAGCTAGCCCGAGCCCAGGGACTGAGTTGTAAGTATCATCTGTTTGCTCTCCCATCCCACCCCACCCCCATCCATGGCTTTTATAGCTTGGGGGCAAGAGAGGAGCAATGGCATTAAAATGGGTTTTCAACAACAGAGCAAAATGGGTAGTAATGGAGAAAAGAGCAAGCAGGTGTTCGGTGAGCTCCCAAGCAGCCATGAATGGAAGTATCCTACCTAAAGATGCCTAGCGGAGTTCTGTTTTTGCTTGAAAAGACTTGTGTGAAACATGTCTTACATACCCGGTGAAAAGGGCCTTGTCTCCTGAGTTGCAGGAGTTTGTGGTCAGGTGTGCAGGAGTATGTGTCTGCGTCCTCTTTCACAGGGCTGGGGTGCTTTGTTCAGAACTTCCTGTGCCCTACACAGTGCGTGCAGCAAGGTAGCTCTTGCTCTTCTGGGTTTCTGGCATTAAATTCCGACTCCATGCTGGTTGTTTTTGGAGGGGTTTAGAAAATCTGGGACAGTTTCTAAAACAGTGTTCTTTGGGCAGCTCTGTGTTTGGGCATGAATTCCATTCACATTCATCCTCCACCTGAGCCCAGATGACAGAAAGAAGGAGGTACAAAGTGGGATTGTGACAGTAGTATTTGAAATAATTTTTTCTTGAAAGTTGTGAGAGAATTGTGTGTTTCACTTTGACCCCCAAGCTTGCAGCTTTTCAGCAGGGAAGCTCAAACAGTTGCTTGTATTTGGCTGTTAACGTCCATTGGCAGATGCTCTTGGAGCCATGGGCTGTTTGCTTACATTTTTGCTGCTGACTCCTGCTTGTTGCCATGGTGGACAGTATGTTTCTGTCAATAATTTGGCCTAGTGTAGCTTGTCTGCACTGACTCTCAAACTTTATTGAACAGCTCGACTCAGCTGAATGAGATGAGACAGCTTTCGTCTTTTGGCACGCAGACATGCTTGCTAGATTTATAAGAGCAGGCGGGAATATTGCTTGGGAGTTAGTTGTGCTCCCCTTGTATACATAATACTCTCAAGTCTCTTAGCTATTTGTATTTAGGAGTGTGTGTATTGTCAAGTTTTCATCTGAGTGCTCATCAAAAGCAATCAACACAGGAGATAAATTCATGAAGTATGTATCTTCTGGCATCTGGGGGCAGTGTGTTGTTGAGTAAAAAGGTCACAGCACCAACTGTGTAATAAAAGTTAAGGTTCCATGATGGAAGTTTCTGTATTAAAAACATTCTTGCCTGCATTTAACTTTATGAAGACTATGCCTTTATTTTTTCCATTCTGTATTGACTGTTTGAGCTTATATAACCTTTTCACACATGTTGGGATAGTTCTCATTAGCAAGGTCACTATGCTAAGAGGCACCCCATTTTTCTTTGCCTTCCTTCCTTCTCCCTGCAGGTTGAAAGGGCCTGGCAGTGAGAAGTTGGTCAGCCAAACTGACTATCCAGTTGTTGGTAAAGTTATATTTGCATGATCATTGTAGGAGGACATAACTACCACAGAACTTGAGTTGACCATAGGGATGCATTTTTAAGGAGAAAACATTAATTTCTTTTGGGAAGGTTAAGTTGAGGAACCCCCAGTTTAAATCTGGTACAGATTACAAGATCTTACTTGTTTTTTTTTTCCCAGAGAAGGCTAATTATGTGTCACAGCCCCTTGGTAAAAAGGGCTTCCCCCTCCCCGTTATACAGAATGTATCCCTCACTGTTCCAAGTTAACTTAGTTTGAAATTTTAAATAGGGTGGTTTTTTTTTTTTTTTGTTTTTGCTTTAAACAGCACAAATGAGTGGAAACTATGACTTTGGGCCATTTGAAGGTTGTAGAACTTTTTAATAAAACTGTTATTTTCAGTGTTTTTGACACTTATATGCTTTTGCAGAACCCTGAAGTCCTTCCTATAGCCTATAACCTCACTGCTATTGAATCTCCAAGGCCGACCAATTCCTGTGTGTATTAACAGTGAGAAGAAAAATGAAGGCTCTTTTTCTTTATTTTTGGTAGTTTGTCTTAAAATTACTAACGGCATGATTTGAAATACTTTTGCAAAGATCATTTTTTTTTGTGGGTCTTAGTTGTTATTTGATAGATTAAACTTGTAATTTACCCTTTAATTATGAGGTTTCAGGTGAGGATCTGCACAAAACAATACTAAAATAATACCTCACAGTTGCTTTGTAATGGTCAGCAGATTCCCTGCAAAGAGTCCAGCATACCTCATCATGTTTTGCAAGGCATTTGAGGTAAAAGAATTCATCGTTTATTTTCAAGCTTTAAACACAAATAAACAGAAACACTAAAGTTGGTGTTGGCATCAAGTTGGTGGTTGTTATCTCAGTTTGTAGTGATACATAGTATCCACAGCTCTGCTTTCCTCCAAAGTGAACAAAGAACTATGGGAGTGTTAGAAGTTAGCAGTGTTCCTGGTTTGAGGACACTTAGGTAGTTACATCTACTTATGGGTACTTTGAAGGGAAGTTTGCATATTTAGATGTGTTCAGACTGAGGTATTCAGCAAAATGATTAATACTACAGAGTTTCAGTTTTTTTTTTTTTTTTTTAATTAAGCATAAAGACTATGTAAGTTTGTGAGTTCACAGAAACAAAGCTGTCTGTGTATTTAAGCAGTATCCAGACAGCTTTGTTTCTGGGAGCTTTTTTTCTGCCAGGACAACAATTGGTTAAATGCAGTTTGTTTAAGGTGTGAAGCTTACTTTGTGTGATTCTAACAGGCAAATGAATCTACCTGCTCTGGGTTCGGATAGCAAGTTTGACTGAAGTTTATGCATGAGTTCTAGCATAGGTTATCCAGTCACATTCAGACCAAAGGGAGCTCAGGTGGCAGGGATCTGGAGATAAAACTGTGTGTGGGACTTCATCCTTCCGATTTTAGGTGCTTGAGGCATATCAGACTATGACTGGGAGCAGCATCCCTGGACTTCTCCTCCTTGCCTACATAGCCATGCTGTACTTTCAGTCTCACTGAGTTTCCTTCTGGGTTTCCAGGTTTGATGTATGGGCAGGCACGTGATATGTATCTTAGGAGGATCTATGCTGTTCCTGATTGACACCTTTATCCTTGTCTCCGGGGGTTTTCAATTTTATTTCTGATCTTGTTAAATTTCTTGGTAGGTTACAAATCTGAATTAGAAAAAAAGAAAAATCGAAACCCACAATATTTCTTGGATGTCTTTCTAATGGATCATCTGAGAAACTAAGGCCCAGCACTTCTAGAGCCACCCAAACCCCCACTGGGCAGCTGGACTCTGAGTACTCTGAAGATCCCGTTTCCTTAGGCAGGCATAGCAAAGCTGGACATCCATGATCCATGATCCATGACAGGAGGCTGGCATTCTTTCAGCCTCATGTGGGACCTGCAGGGTATTGGTGTGTTTGGAAGAGAAGTTCCATTGCATTGCCAGCCCCAAGCTAGTTTACACCTCAGGCTCACTTCCTGCTTTATTCTTTCATGTGTAACATGGACCATCATTCATAAACAACTTTGTTTTATAAATATCTCACCACAGGTGTGTAGTTTACAAAGTAGCCATGAAGGAGAAAGAGGCTTCTTTCTAACACAGAGACAGGTAGAGCTATATTGATGACTTTTTTTTTTTTTTTTATTACTTCTTAAAGTAGATTCTAAAGTCTTTCATTTTCCTTCTTTCTGTAGAGGATGAAAGTCCTGGACAGATCTATCACCGAGAGAGAAGAAACGCAATCACTATGCAGCCTCAGAGTGTGCAGGGGCTCAGCAAAATCAGTGAGGAGCCCTCAACATCTAGTGATGAGAGGGCCTCATTGATCAAGAAGGAGATCCATGGATCTCTACCACATCTGGCGGAGCCCTCACTCCCTTATCGTGGGACTGTGTTTGCCATGGACCCACGGAATGGTTACATGGAACCTCACTACCGTAAGTGCTTCTGGCTAATTAGTACTTGTTTTGGGATGTATGGGTGGGGAGCTGTGGATGGTGTGTGGGTGGGTGTGGTGTGTCTGCCTGCAAGTACATGCTGCCTGCTGTATGAATTGTTGACTCTACTATTTATAAAACTATGTTTAATTTTACATTTTTTCCTATTTCTGTTTCTTATCAACTCATCTTAGAGAGTGACATTTTCTTATAGTCTAGGCGGTTTCAGGCTTTTCAGGGTGTGGGGGTTCAGGAAGATGTTTTGTTCAAAAATCCATAATGATATTTGATTGGATTTGAACCAGATAGGTTCTGTCTGTGCAGACATGCTTTGAGAAAAATGGGTTGAGGGTAGGGAACTATTAAAGCAAGATATATTAAAAGACTTTGATGGCAGTTCTTACGTTTCATGATTTTTGCTATAATGGTTTTTACTATTCTTATGCTTAATGATTTGCTAAAACAAACTAATTTTATCCATTTAGTGCTAAATTTGTTACTGTGGAAGCCTATAGTGAGCCCTTCTCTCCTTACAAACCTGCATGAGACACTGGAAGTTACCTTTCTAGTCCTAACAGAATTAAAGAAATTGAACAGGACTATGAACCTAAGTATAGGGCAGTTCTTTTCAAAGGCAGACTATAAGGTAAATACATACGGGCTGAGTTTACTTCAGTCCTGTTTCTGGTTTAAGAATATAATTTGGCTCTGGAGTAATGAAAGTCATGTTGAGGTGGTGAAGCTGGAAGCTCCTGATTACAGATTTATCGCCTTGCCAGGATATAGTTGCCATTTAACCTCGTGGCACCAATTCCAGATGATCCATTGAGTTCCAGAGAGGGAGACTGGTTTGTGTTTCCCTTTTCCCACATCATTCAGAAATTTTAGTGTTTTAAGGCAAAAGGTCATTAGCCAGATGACTGATTAGTGAGGACAGCTGATTAGAGCATGTTATTTTGCTCAAGAAAGTGCCCAGGATAAAAGCTAATTTCATCCCTTCATTAGTTAGCTGGAAGCAAAGGGGAACACTCACTCACCAGATCAAAGCGTCTCACAGCAACCTTAAGTTCCAGCAACTGCTCCCCCCACAATATATTGTTGGAAAAAAAATGGGGAAGCAATACTTTTTAAGTGGAAAGGACTTTTTTTTTTTTTTTTTGGAAGAATCATGGAAAAATGATGGTTTGGATTTTTTTTCCCTCATCAGCTTTTTAAATAGTTAAGTACTTCTCTTGGGGGAAAAATGCCCATTGGTTCCATTACTGAAAAGGTGTCTGTAGATGCAGAAATAAGGACCGAAGTGTTTGGACAACTATATTTCCTTCCTCCTTAGGGCTTATTCATTTTATTTTTTCCTGAGTTTTACGAATGAATACATAAAATAATGTTGGTATGATTTTTTTCCTCTGATCACATTTTGAAGCCTCTTGTGTTTGTATTTGTGGTCTCTTGAATATCATTCATGCAGGAAAAATTGGGAATTCCTATATGTATATATTCCCAACCTGTATTTACACCTCCTCCAAGTCCTAGCTCCTTGCAGTGTTTTGTCTTTTTGTGTGAACACAAGCTTTTCCCATCACAGTGATGGTTTGTTTTGTTTTTTTTTTTTTTTCCAGATGCCCACTAATTAGTGAGGTGTTTAATTAGTCCAGACAGAGGATGAACACTTCTTTCTCTTGGTTGATGGTAGTGGAACCGTTAACTTTCTGTCCAGTTTGCAGCTTGTTCTTTGTTTTAATAGTTTCCCATTGAGTCGTCTCCCCATCATTTGAAGGGCTGGCTTTCTCTTCAGCAGGGATCCCTGTACTCTTGACTCACTCAGTGTCTGTGTGACCCAGTTCCTGGCACAGCAAAGTAGCATTAACGAACACTGTCTGGAGAGCTCACAGTAGGATGTATATGCATTTATTGTTTTTCTACTTTGAGGACTTAGTACTTATACATCGATTACTCTTGTGATTTCCTACTCTTATTTTATACAATCACGTTGAAGGAATATTCTAGTCTGTAATCAGCTACATCATCTGCAGGCTCATGGCAAATGAATTCTGTGCTATTCACCAATTGTTTCCCTAACTTGGGAACATGACATAGTAATGTGCCAGAAGTCTTGAGAACCACACAGATTTGGGTTCAAATTCTAGTGCTTCACTTACTAGCCCTATGACCTTGACCCCGTGTGTTGACTTTCTAGAATCATTTCCTTGTTCTCCAATATGTGTAATGATATTAGTGTCTGCACCTTGGGGTTCTTCTGCAATTGAGACAATATAATGAAGTCGTTCCTAAAATCCAGCACATGTTAAGTGCTTCAGAATTATGAGGCCATTCCGCTCTTCTTCCTTCTCCTTTCCCCTCTGTTTCTTTTCTTCCTCCAACACCATCATCATGTGGTTGGCTCTCTCTGTAAGTCGTGCCATTTCTGTGAGGGTGCAGTGTATTTTGTTTTTCTGACAGATCAGAAAATGAGTGGGCTGTAACTAAGAAGGAAGACTTGGGGTGGCAAGAGCTATGCCCTGTGCCTTTACTAAAAGCTGTCTTTCTCATGGAACCCCAGTTTATGCTGACTTTTGTCTGTTTTGTAAGTAAAGACACTGTGAAGCCTTTTAATTTGTTGAGGTCCTAAATTTTAAATTTTAGCAGGAAATACCTTACATAAAAAATAAAAAATATAGAAAAAGGAGCAATATTACTTGTTGATTTGAAATAATTAAAGTTTCTAAGCCTGCATTAGATAGGGTATGGATTTATTTTACTAGAACCCTGTTTGGCTATTTAGTCTTCTATTTACATCTCAAGTGGTTTTTTAGGTGTTTATGATCAGATCTGCATACCTGACATGGATTTGATTACCCAGGCACAGCTAATGATTAATATGAGCTAAAGGTAATAAATGTCCTAAGACTTTAAAAAATGAGTTTGAAAGAGGCATAAAATTTTATTTCATTTCTGTTTCTTGTGGGCAAAGCCTGTCTCCCCCTGCAGTGCTATCCAAACCCAAGTGCATTGTAGACGTTTGTAACTCATTGCTCAGGAACATCTTTGGACCCCTCATTCCGCTCTTCTGTGTTTCCCAGCTCTCTGAAACAGCTGGATACTCCACCAGTTGAGTGTGGCTGCCTGTGAATACTCAGTAATTCCTTCAATTATCCGTGGTGGTTGGAAAATGTAGACTTTTCAAATGCCTAAATTTGTGCTTCTATATATATATATACTTACTTTGTATTTCTAAAGTGTGGGTAGGTTTCCTGTAAGACCAGAAAAGGGAAGAAGAAAACAAAACAAAACATCTTTTTCCCTTCAGAAAGACATATGTAAAAATTTTATTGCATAAGATTTATTATACTTTGTGATGCATCTTCACAAATTGTAGTTAGGCAGAATTCAAAGTATTTTAGGTTTTGTGGGTTTGATTTTAAAAAGTCGAAAAGGAAAGAAAAAAGAAAACCCAGGGATAGCGGGCCGGCACTTCAAACATTCTCAACATGTGTTTGGAATAAAATACACACACTGGTTTGGGGTGGGGTGTTTTCTCATGAAGGGTAGCTGTGGATGGGCTGTATATCAGGGCAAAAAAAAAAAAAAAAAAAAAAAAGCACACAAGCTGCATGGCTCAGACATGATGTGGTGCTGACAACCTCTTGGCCACAGCATCACTCACGTGTTATAATTTGGAATACCATGAGTGGGGCTACATTTAGGGACCCTCTGAATGCTAATGCTGGAGTCAGGCTAGAGACTCCATGTCTTGCCCAGAGATGGATCAGGAACGTTTTCCTCCTCTTGCTCCATCTGTAGCCAGATATTTCAAATCACCATCACCCGCTGCTTCCATTTACTGCCATCCATTTATTGTTTTATAAACTTGGGAGGCAGGGGACATAGTAGTTCAAGCATGCTCTGTACCCTGACTGACACTTCACTTCTACTCTCTTCCCTTTTAGAGGAAACATGTGTTTCACCGTCTTCCTTCTCACTGTGAAGAGTGTAGTTTTGTAGCTGTCCCTCTAGGGTTCTGTGTGTGAAGTTTGTTGGAGTTATTAAGCATGCCATAGAAGGTCTCAGTTTTGTTAAAGGGAGCAGAAAGTTTTCTTCTTTTTCAAAAGTCTCCTCGTAGTTTTATAGTTGGGCACAGACTGCCCTCCTTGCCGCCCTGCTCCTGAGCAGTAATTCTTCATGGAAAATATGATGCGTTCTTGCATGCAAATGCTCTGATTGAAAACACACCACTGCTATTCTCCCTTATGTTCCCTAGCTCAAATGACAGAACTATTAGTTGCTAATTAGCAAAACCTGAGGAATTAGCTTAAAGAAAAGAAATGGAATTTTTAATTGGCTTGCATTTATTTTCTGTGGAAAGCTATTGTGCTGAGCCCACTTGTAGTCTTGTGTGCTTAAAAAAAAAGAAAGAAAGAAAAGAAAAAAACACACATGCAAGTCTTTTTTTCTTACCTGTCTATATTTGTGTTAGCTGACTTTCCACGGGCCTTAGAAATGTATCTTCTGACTGAGGGGGAAGAGGATATGTATTTTACATATTTAATAGGTGCACCTGCTCACATTTCTTCTGCTTTGCAATTGTCATCTTGAGACTGTAGAGACAAAAATGCCTACAAGGCACAAATGAACAGTTTGGTGTTGGCCAAACTGCAAAGGTAATGACAGTTCCCTTAGCGCACAGTTCCAGCTTTATCCACATTGTCTCTCTCTCTCTTTGGAGAACTGCTGATGAACCAAGTCAGGAGGTTTCATTACCCTTCTGAATGTGAGATGATTTAAGTAGAGCGAGTGATGCTGGGTCATTCTCTGGGGGCTATGCCAACTAGCTTGCTTCCTAGCTGTTAGTCTTGAGTTGGGGGGAGGAGGAATGAGGCTGTTAGAAAGTCTCTAAACCCTTGCATAACTCATTTGTGAGCTTAAGATACTTTGCTTTTCTTGTCTTTTCTCAGAAGTTCAATGTGGTGATGTGGCTTCCATATAGCAACCCATAGTAGAAA